CGAAACCTCACCCCTCGCCCTTGCTGGTCGATCCTGGCCACGGTTGTGAGCTGGACCGGGCGGCAGGACAGCCGGGGCCGGTGATTTGGAAGCTGTCTCTCTGTCGGGTAAAACCTTTGCCCGACTCGCCCGACTCACTTTTTCGGGCGGGTCGGGTCGGGTATGAACGCCATCAAGCGTCGGGCTAGCTGAAATGCGTTAACCCGCCCGATCGAAAACACTATCGCGCTGCCGTTTTTCCCCACTTGGAAGAAATGCCGGATTTCTACGTATAACATGTAGTATGTGGTGACGCCAGTGGGTAAAAATAAAGAACAAAAGCAGTGACTCGTTTTTCGTCGAGGGCGGTGAGCCCTGCATCCAAGCAAGGGCAACAACAGTCGGGAAAAACGCAGGCCCGTACGGAGCTCCCCGTTAACGACCGACCCAGCCGGACCCAGAGGGGGCGGGTCTGGCTGTCGCGGCCACCGACGAGCTTCCGGTCGGCTTCTCCTCACCTGGCACAGGATGTCCGCCCGCTCCTGCCGCGCCACGCCGTACACACGCTTCTGGCCCTCCACGCACACCGGCTTGTCTGCAAAAGAAAGAGAGAGCAACGGCATGAGCACAAGAGTTCAAAGGCAGCGACCCAATTGTACTATAAACGGGCGGCAGGAGGAAAACTGTGGCCAGGCTATACAGAAAACAAGTGAAATGTGGTGGAAAGAATAATCCACACCAAGCAAATGAGACCGAGTTTTAATCCGGGACTGCTCTCCTCCCTTAATTTATATGACAAGGTACTGCCATAAAAAATACGAGGGGGTTGGGGGGCACACTCAAAACGGTACACACAATATAAGTCTGCCAAGTAGTCATTCCCTAATGGATGGTTACTCGCTTTTATGTCATTCTCTTTTATTGATTTTATTACACTTTTCCCCGCCGCACAAGCCGTTAATACAACCCCTGCGGGCAGGCGCGTTGTACATCATGCCAGATGGCCGACGGGGAATTGGATGTGCTGCTGCGGGGAGGCTGGGGGAGAGGGGGGACAGTATCACCTACACGAGGCTACGCTAACGTCGCCCCGCGCATGCATGTCTGCGTAACAAAAAAGGGGAGGGGGAAGGGGTTAAACCAGGAAAAATTATAGAGCCGGGCGACAAGGAAAGAGTGGCATTTCACGATCTCGCGCGCGCGTACACCCCCCTTTTTTGTTTCAATAAATGCGTCTGTCTATTAAGGTTCCTGACATGAATTAATCGTTCGCTGTAATTAAAATTTCAGCGTGGCGCCAGAGAAGATCGTGACCGTGCCGCGTGCCGCTGGCGCTCAGAGGAGCCGAGAATCACCCCTTCCTTTCACTCATGCGGCGCGCCAGGTCTCCGCTATATTTCATGACTTCGTACCCCCCCTTCCCCCCTTTTGCCCTGCCTGTCCCAGGTCCATCCCGTCACAGGCAGTGAATTAATGCAAAATAAAGAGACAGGAGTCACTCGCGGTCGAATAGAAAGGCTTTACAAAATCTTAGGGCTGCTACGACGTCCGCAAAGAGAGAGGAGGGCACCAGTGCAACAAAAAAAGAGTTCCAAAAGAATCGCGCTAGTCATTATTTATCAGTTTCACTCTAATAAGAGAGCCTCCGCTCCACCACCTCCCTCTATCCCGCGGCCATGCCTCATTTCCAGAGAACAATAAAGAAGCTGATCTGAGTGAGACGGTAAAGACGCAAGAGGGGAGCAGGAGAGTGCACGGGCGTAAAAGAAGTACGGATAGAGATAAAGTGCAGAGTGGATAAAAGTAAGTTAACTTGGCCGGAAATATTCCAACTACATTTGGCGTGCTAATTAAAGCTCAAAAACAGATCGCCGCGGCCAACTTCTGCTGCAAAATTTCATTATCATTTTTCGTCCAACGGCCGGGCCGCCGGTTCCTAGGGGCCCCTCGCTGCTGCAGAGGGAAGACGCCGGCCACGTCTCGCCGCCGTCGCTCACGTCCGCGCGTCCCGTCCACCTCGACAAGCCTTTATGGGGGTCGTTACGCCGCGTTTAATTAGACGGACAGCGACACGTGCCGCCGCCCCGGGGAGGAAAGGAGGAGAAAAAAAAATTAAAGTGCTGCGCAGCCTTCGCGTCTTACGAGAATCTCACTCACACGCACGTATACGCAAGAGGAGCCTCCACGATGCGCTGTCGGGCGCGGAAAACTCCAAACTCGTCCTTCCTCACAGGATGTGCTTCAAAGTGTGGTACATTTCCATGTGTACTAGCATGAGAAAAGAAATTTAACGACAAATTTTCATAGTTTGTGACAGTGACAAATCCAGTTAAGTGCGCAATTTTCGACGAATTTTGCATTGCTGTCAGTGCATGGTCCTATGCATTCTTCCCTGTTTGATATTTCGACACGCACTATAAGGAATTGGAATGTCACAAAGGTCCATCATCCCCGTAGATGAGTCTTCGTGAAGTTACCTCCCGGGCGAAGCTTGCTGCCTGAAGTACTCATTAGGAAGAGAGAAAAGGACCCATGGCGAGCGAAGCAGTGAGTGCAGTGGAAGAGACGTGGAGCACTGGGTAGAGTAGGGCACTTTACGACTGATCAGGATGATGATGGTCAGCTGAAGACAGAGGGAGACGGGGGATGGAGAAAAAGAGAGAGAAAGAGAGCGAGAGAGAGATTCGATCACGGGACGGCAGCAACAATGTAGACGCCACAACGATGACGTAATGGCCAGACCGGGCCGGGCGTCGCGTGTTTCGTCCGCCCTTTTCTTTTATTACAGCTGGATTTCATTAGCGTGGCGTAAACCAAAATCACCAAGCCGCGCGCTCGCCGCGCGAAAGCAGAAGAGGGAGAGGAATAATAGAGGAGGAAAGTGGTTCGGAGCCGCGAAGGGCACGGCAGGGCAAGGACTCTACTACTGCCAGTGGCACCTGCAGCCAAACTGAGAGGCGTTCAGTCCCCCCGCCGCGCTTCAAACGCGCGTTTGTTTTGCTTTAAGCAGAGAGATCACCATCTCACGCAAGGAAACAACGACGGCAAGCGGAGCGTCAGCGTTTTATACGGCGTAATATATGGCTGCCATGAAGATTGAGAGCGACGCGGCGGCTTCTGCCGTGCTGGCTTATTGTTGTATTGTCTCACACGCCCACACACGCGCGCGCGCTCACGCACTTTGCAAAGACTTGAGGAGCCCGGTGGCGTTCCCCTCCGTATCGTCTTACGTCAAAATCCACTTTCCGATACAAGTACGCCGGGCGTCAAACTACATCCACGTGCGCGGCGGAGGCGCGGGGGGATACGGGCGTGCCGGGCATGGGAGTAGTCTCTCAACCGGCGCAACGGGCGGCGCCTCGGGACATCAAGGCCGCGAGTTTACAATCAACTGCCATGAATAAACTACTGTTCTCGATCGGCGGGAAGCCGAAGCGCAGCCCACCGCCAGAGCACGCCGTGAAAAACATCGTCATCACCATCGTCGTCATATCGTCGACACCGCGGAAGAACGATATGAAAACGGCCTCCACAAAGGCTCCGCGCCGCCCCATAGAAGAGGTGTGAGCAGCTTTAAAAGTAAAGGCAGCAAAAAGTTGCAGGATTTTGACGGCGCTCCTCCGCCGGTGATCGCCCATAAGGCTACGCACGCGAAAGGAGGGGAGGGCGGCGAGGAGGCAAAGCACGTCCTGTGAATGTAAACAGCACACGGTAGCGCTTGCTCGTGCGGTGCACCACAAGATTTTTTTCCCCCTTTCCAAATCCCACGACAGTATCGGAACGATTGCAACCGTCTTCTTATTCCTGCAAGCAGGGGGCACTGTTTGGGCGAGAGCGGGAGTAGCAGAGACTCCCTCTCTGAGCGGCGTGGAATTGGCAATGCTAGAATGTTCCGGGCGTTCTGGCGTGCGACGGTCCGGAGTGTGCTGTGGTCGGCGAGGCTTGTTCGGCCCCGGAACGAAGGGGACGGGGTGAGGAGGGGAGGGAGGGGCGCAGAAGGGGCCGCGAGGGCCTTGCCCCACAATATCCGACGACTTGATGAGAAAGGACAGCCAGGGGAAAGGGCAAGGAGGGAGAGAGAGAGAGGGAGAGAGAGAGAGAGAGAGAGAGAGAGAGAGAGAGAGAGAGAGAGGGAGGGCGGCGGTGGGGGCAGTAGATGAGGGGTTCAAGAGGGCACCATGGGGGCGCGGTGGGATGGGTGGCAAGGAAGGAGGGGAGATGTTGGGAAGGGTTGAGGAACTGGCAACTATTGACAGATGCCCACCCGAGACCAGACAATGCCATCGTCCAGCCAGCGGGGCCAAAAGACGGACCCTCTTAGCGGCGGCCCGGGGCCCGTCGCGCGGCCGCTCCCGTCGCCCCCGCCGCCACGCCCCGTGGTACCACCACTAGCTCCGACACTATAACCCAAGTTCAGCTGCTCCTCGTCAGGCGCCCGGGCCCGCCCGGGCTCGAGGAAGGCGGCGGAGTGGGGGTTATGTGGATTCTCGAGTTGTGGTCCAGTTTACTATCACTTACGTGCGCTTTGATGGTCATAGTTGGGGGGG